AGCCCCTCCGGGGCAGCGGGGATTGGCGTGAGGTGGGAGCGGGCAGCTGCAGATGCGCGAGCGGCCACGGACCCCCACAGGGTCTGTCAGGGAGAAGGGCCCCGCCAGCATGTTGGTTTTAAAAGACGGATCCCACCACAGCTGTCAGGGACGTGGCAGAAACGAGCATCTTCACTGAAAAATGGTGTGGGTACTTCCTGTTGGCCTCGTGCTATGTGGCCAGGCAAGTGTGTGAGGGCTTGAAGCTGTTTATTGCCTGGCCTGGACTTCTGAGGGAATTGGACAGGGCGAGCAGAGCCAGGAGTTTGGGATGCCACTGGACTTCCCAAATATTGTGCAAAACTCTACAATTCATCTGACGCAGGAGTTAGGCACTTAGAGCCTCTCTCACTCCAGAAATGAGAGATGAGAGCAAAACCATAAACACTGGCAGCCATGTACAAAATGAGGAAAGCAGCAGCGAAGAGGTCCAAATGCTTTAAACTTGTCTCAAAGAGGGAACACATGGCAAAAGGAGGACCTGTCATGAGCAAAAGAAGAGTAAAGGAAACCCTAGTTCTTCGTGGTTGGTAAATAGATAGTGAAAGAAATGTGTGGGGTTCCTTCCCATGAACTGCATATAAATCCAGGGCAAATAAGTAGGAGGAAGTGAATCCTCTAGATCAATGAATACAACTAGAATAGCTATTCTTATTCTGAAAACTGCATAAACACTACCAGCACCCAGAAGTCTGACAGAATATTTTGCATTTGGACATGAAAGCCATTTCATTAGAGAAAACTGAAAAGGCTGTGTGGAAGGGCTAAGCAAAGACACAATGAATTCCACGAATAGAAATGGATGAAATATACTTCCATTGTTACCACATCTTGTTAAAGAACCTGAAACATGCTGATGAAAAAGATCAACAAGATCTAATAAAGTCCTGAATGGAAAAGAGAAGTACCTTTAATCTCAGCATAGTCTCATAAATAACCTGTCAAATGCAAAACAAAAATGCCCAGGATTATGTCAAATGACACTGTCATTTTGAAAATGTGACACGGAATGGATTCTAGTCCTACTAATCCGAAGTGCTGTGAGAGAATGTTAGTGACACATATTCCTAGGATGTATTTTTGGGTATTTAAATACCAGAGTTGGCTCCAAGTTACATCTAAACAGTTCTGTGAGATGTGTGATCTCTCAGCTGTGGATTTGGATCCCTTACTGTTTAGGAGGTTTGGGTTCTGAGGAAAAGCATGCTAAGAATGCTGTTGCATCATGATATTTGCTCAGGCATGGTCCTGGTTGCCTTATCCCCAGAAACAACCCTTACTGATCTCCACAGAGACCAGATTTCTCAGGGTACAGAGTATGTGTGGGTGCTCACTGAAAACAGCTCATCAGGGAGCAAGAAATCTCTGTTTGGGACAGACAACCTGCCATTCAGTTCAGGTGATTCAGAACAAATTTGGATTGTGTGATACCAGGCCTTCATCCAAGGGGCAGCAGGTAGGAGAACTGAAATACTGTACTGTTAATAGAAAATTTTTCTTTGATAGTCAAGGTAAACCTCTGTTTTAAATAACTTAAGTCTTATTACCTGAATTCTTCCTGAATTCAGCTGAATTAAACCCTAGGTTTATACTGAGCATTATTGTCTGAATTCTTCTTATTCCAAAATAAGCCCTTTTCCTGTGGTTTTAATCATACTTGTGTCATTGTCCTTTCTCTCCCTTTTCCTTTCATTTGATTCTTCATTGATACAAGGTCTCATGTACTGTGTGCTTTCAGTGATTACCGTCAGTGGCAACAGGATGTTTTCCTTTTTTCATATGTTGTACTGTAGTTTGTTTGTTTATCCTAAAGGCAAGTGTTTTGGCAAATGACTATTAGCTTTTGGGTCACTTCCCTGTTTATTCTGGTCATACAACAGGAGAAGAGCGAAAAGAATATCGTCAAAGTATGACTGCATGTTTACTCAGTTTAGGTGTTTTAACATTTTTATTAAAACAAAAAAAAAGAAGTTTTTAATCTCTTCTTCCAGGAAAAGATGCAGAAATCTTGTTTCATTGTCTAAGAGGGACAAAAGCAAGTATTTATCCAATGAGGCAGTTAAATAATAGGTCTTGTGTGGTTACTGAACAATTAATAAAGGTGTTGATGCATGGACCTCATAACTGCTTATGGAACAAAGAATCTTTTGTCCTAACACAGCAGTAGAAAGAAATATTTGGCAAACTTTGGAAGTAACGCATAGCCAGGTCAGAAGAAGAACGTGGTTTTGTAATACATTGTCTGAACTGGAGAGGTTAGGTGTTTCTCTGAAAACACGTGTATTCAATCTTTTTTTCTTCATATACTCACTAATTTATTTTGCTATCACAGACAAAACACAATTTAGTAGGTACTGTTTTGCATTAAGTTAGTCTGCAAATCAATAGCTTTATTCATCTAACTTTATTGAACCAAAGGCTAACTTCTATGATATTTTGATACAGATATCTTTCTTCCTTCTATTATTAATTTCTGTAATTGTAATACATTAATAGAAGAATATTGCTCAAATGATGCCTCTAAGTTTTCATTGGTCTCAACCGAAGAATGGATACGTGTGGATGAAGTATTTGCTTCACCTTTCAGCAAAGGGGCACTAAATCTCAAATGTGTTTCCTTTTATATGTTAGCTGTGTTGTTGGACATTAAAACAATATTAAACCTCCAAATCTGTTTGAAAAGATATTCTACATGTGGGGTTTGTTAATAATTAGTATTTTATTTCATAAATATCACCTGCTCTGACTTGAAGTCTATCACAGGTCTTAGAATTTCACCCAGCAGTTGAGTTAACAAGATTTTTCTTTAAAGATGGTATTTTAGCAATGGCTCATTTTTCTTCTACATTTTGACTTTATCTAGCTATGTTTCCTTTTCAAAGTACACATCTTACAGATTCTTGTATCCGTCTGCAACTTCGTCTTTACCATAAGTGTCTCCAAATTAAGGGAAGGCAGAATGATGGTAATGTAACAATAACAAATTATAAGCAGAGATGGCATATCAAGAATAAAGCACCTTTGATGCTCTTTACACTCTTCTGTACTGTATTATGTTGGAGGAGAACAAAGGTGGGTTTAATATCCCCTTTGCAACTCCTAGGCTCTTAGGCCAACTGAGGATTTGGGAAAACTGTGCAAAAGAGCAGCCCTGGTGACTGCTTTTAATCTGTGCAGCATCAGACCATTTCAGCAGTCCAGAGTACTTTAGAGGGCATCGTGCCCTTTAGTATGCCTTCACTCCCCAGTGCAGTTATTGTCTTCTTCTCTGTCTCTGAAGATGAGGAAAAACTTCTTTACTCTAAGGGTGACAGAGCACTGGAACAGGCTGCCCAGGGAGGTTGTGGAGTCTCCTTCTCTGGAGATATTCAAAGCCCGCCTGGATGAAGTCCTGTGTAGAATGCTCTAGGAGACCCTGCTTTAGCAGGGGGGGTTGGACTAGATGATCTCCCGAGGTCCCTTCCAACCCTTGCGATTCTGTGATTCTATGATTCTGTCTGTCTTCAGTATAGCCTCCAGTGTGTGGAAAGCTACAGTGTGTAGAAGGATGGCCTTACTTAATCGCTGCAATGCTGTCAGGGAAATCTCATCATGATATTGTTCTTTTCTGATGGAGA